ACTGTTAGGGCATTCAAACACCCATATATAGCTGACTTTGAGTGAAATGATGCAATAGCCCTGTGTTTATACTTTAGGTATTTTATTATGTATAAACCCAGAATAATTTAAATTGCCTTTTAAAAACACATTCAGTTTTATTTCAGCAATGTTTATTTTATGCTTGAAAACTAAGTGCTATATTTTTATTACTATGACACTACTATTTTTCAAATGTTAGAAGAAGGGCTGGGTCCATGTGTTGTAAGTTCAAAGCAGCTCAGCTTTCATTATCGAGTCATGATTGGTAACTCTAAAATTAAAAACTTGGAATCAACCAAGTCCTGAAGCTGTCTGATTTTTAAGGGTTGCAGAACAGATCTACACTTTATCACCCTATATTTACTTCCAGAAGCTACAAAAATGCAGCTCCCTGGTTATCAGTTGATTTTTGTTTGTTTGGTTTTATTTCAGACAATTTATAAAAACTTTTATTGCCTTGCCCTTGTTGGTAGTTAAATTCAGTGAGCAGACTATATTTTGTGTTCTAGAGCAGCCTTCCTTTCACTTTCATATAAGCCTTTCCAATAGGGATTCATTCTCTTTAAAAACAGATCAGGACAGAATAGAGCAAAAAGAGCCCTATTTTTTCATTTAAGACCTTCTTAATATTTTTTTCCCCAGAGTTTTCTCCAGTGTGTAAAACACATGGATTCCGACTGCTTCCCCACCCCCAGCTCCTGCTTTCACATGCATACTCTTTAGGACAGTGGTCAAAATTAAAATATGGGCATTTATATTAAATATATATAACTATTTATTGATCTACAATCATTAAATAGTTATATTTCCTGTAATGTTCTTATTTGTGATATAGAAACAAGTATGGTTAAATTTTCCATTTTTAAAGGAGCCCATTGTACAACAACACTCATTACTGCAGACAGAAAAATGTGTAGTTGCAATGGGACATCACAAGAGGGAGCAAGAGGGGCACATGTTACCAAGTGGATTATGGGAAGGGTTTTTACTTGGATATTTATATGTTAGGGAGCCTTGTTAGGAACTAAACAGAGGCCAAAGTGGGACAGAAGGAAGGGGGCAGGTGAAGAGAAATCCTCTCACTAGGAGGATGTGATACCCACTCACAGTCCCCTTCCTACATCTGTTCTTGTTTGACTGATGCAGTGAGATTTTCCCCTCCCAATTCCATCTACTTTGGTCATCTATATGTGAGGCTACCACCTGTCCACTTCTTCTCACAACATTTGATTAAATCTACGTGTTCCTACTGAAAATTTTGTATTTTCAAATAATCAGGATTCTCCAGCAATTTCCTCCAACTGTTTTGACCAGGTATATATTTTCTTCTTTTCTGGAGGAAAAAAAAAAAAGCTTTGCTGGGGATTAATTATTAAATTCCATGTCCTTCCATCGAATTTCTTCTCATCCTTCTCAGCTATGTAGCAGGGAAGGATTTGTTTTCTTCCAGCCACCTCCCAGTTCAGGGCTGAATAGTCAGCCTCCCTGAATCTGTCCAAGTCTTGAAATGCATAAGAAGTCCTATATTTATACACAACTCCCATACCAGCTTCCCCTGCCACTACATCTGACTCTACAGGCAATGCACGTGCAGCAGATCACATTATCTATGGTAAATCTATGAACCCATTGGGGAACATACCATAAGGTATGGCTGCCCTCTGGGCTTTTTCTTTCCCCCCTTTTTGGAAAAAACGACAGAAGCCTATGGAATCAAAACTAATGGAAGAGGTTATATCTTTTATTAGACCAACTAGATATTTATAAACAAATTATTGTATTTTTCTGCGAGTTTTTGGGCACACTCACCCTCTATCAGGCATAGGAGAGAGCAGAGATTGTAAAAGTTCTCCTAGGTAGAAATGGAAATTTATATTTCACAGGAGAGCTGAAGGTGTGGTAAAGTCTCATGTTTGGAAAAGTTTATTTTGTCCAGGTTAGGTGCAGATTTTATAATCTCTGGTCTCTCCTGTGCCTGATGAAGGGTGAGTGTGCCCAAAAGCTTGCAGATAAATACAATAATTTGTATGTAAATCTAGTTGCTCTAAAAAAAGATATCACCTCTTCCATGAGTTTTGATGCCTTTTGCCTCTAGACCAATATGTCTACAACCTAGAAACCTACAGAGGAGTTTCAGCAATGTTGTAAGGCCTGGGCAAAGGATGTACACAGCTAAAATTTCTACTGCCTCTAGCCATGAAGCTGAGAGTTGTATATGGTTCTTTATATGGTGGACCATGTAATGAGTTCTGACACAGCTGCATATGATCCATTAGCAAAATAGCCCTGAAATTGGAATAATTTGAGTTCTCTGAAGAGGGAGAATAGTGTTTTATCTAATGCTGTCAATAGTGATTAGGTTTAACTTGTAACACCCAGTAACATAATTGATAAATTGCAAATTTTGATGCCATTTAGAGGAACATTTTAGAACAATTTGGCTTGTGGTTAAATTAATGCCAGAGAGCATAGGCATTTCAGCTAGCAATGGCTTCTCTGACCTCCATAAGCTTTTCTTTAAACTTACTCACAAATAGAAAGCTTTCTGAAAGGATATACGTAGAAATAGTTATTAATTCTTGGTTTATGGATTCCCTCCACTTTTACTTCTGTCATTCTCTGGGTGTTAGGAGTGTGGGTCTATTAAGCTTGACCTTGCAGTTGCCCTGCAAATAAGCTCTGAGTGAAGTCAGTGGAGGTTTGAGTGCAGATCAATTCATGCACTGTCCAGGAGAAAGTAAATCTGGACCTGGGTCAGAGCCTGAGACAGATACTTTCTGCATGATTTCTGTTTCTTTGGAGTAGTTGCAGGGAGATTCACAGGTTCACAGAAGTTTAGGGCTGGAAGGGACCTCATGAGATCATTGGGTTCAGCCCCCCTGCTCTGGGCAGGAAAGACTACTGGGGTCAAATAACCCAGCAAGGTTTGTGTCCAGTCTCCTGAGGTTATTTGACCCCAGCAGTCTTTCCTGCCCAGAGCAGGGGGACTAGACCTGATGATCTCACGAGGTCCCTTCCAGCTCTAAACTTGACTGCCTTTAGGCCAGTGCATAGAGAGGAGTTAGAGGGTAAGGCCAAAAGTCCCATCCTGCTAGTACTTACTCACATATATAAATTACTGTTTGGGGCAGGCCCGCTGAGACCATTGAGATTGCTCTTATGGGTGTGTGTAGGATCAGGCCTCTATCCCTCATGTTGTACATAGCTCTGATCATGGAAATCTTTGAGTCGTAAATGTTTCTTTATATGATTTTTTAACAAACAATATCACTTTTCTTTAACTTCTATTTTTAAAAAAACTAGAACTGTGCATATCCACAGATACATATGAAAATGCTATGTTGCTATTTTTGATGATAACGAAGCAAATAAGGTTTTCAGTAGCCTTTCTAGAGCTTTTTTCTTAAAACTCACATTTGACATGAGGAATGTGGAGCTTCTGGCTGGCTTGTGACTGGAGTGAAGGGCAAATTCTTTATCCCCATTACCAGCTCACAACCTACTTCAGGTGCTATGTGATAAAAGGGAAGATTTTGGATCTTTAGGATATCTGTGATGGTAGAATGAATGGTGGTCAGTGTTCAGAATAAAGTATCTTCTGCATCAGCATGAACTTCTGTCTCAATTTCTTTCATGGTTCAAAACCTAGAGCAGTAAGCACTGGATAGTACAGTGCTTGGATTACATTCATTCCAATACTTGGGCACAAAAGAAGTACCTCCAGGGAAATATAATCAAGGATTCTTCTTAACAGGTTTTCATTTTAACCTATCAATGTTGCCTTAAATAAAATATCAGGAATCATTAGTTAATGCCACATGCCCAGCAATGCTCATCACTTATAAATAAAGGGATTTCCATATTTGTGGGTGAATGCTTTCAGCATGTGTCACCAGCCATTCTTAGAGCTAAATGAGTTAGACGTACTCTGCTCTGACTCACAGTAAGTGGAGCAGATTTATAGGCATATATATTATAATAACAAAACATCTGTGTCTCCATGCAGCTCATACCAATGTGGTTGCCAATGATTCAGTCAAATCTAAAGGTAAGTTCTTTTCCCCCATAGTTATTTTATGTGGGATTGGTGTTTATTCTGGACTCTGTCTTAATTTCCTGCAGAAATAAAATGACTGGGCATGGGCTGCCAGCTCCCTGAAAATTCAGCATTAAAAATGCATATTATTTTTGTTTTTCAGCTTCTCATCACACACATGCAAAATGCTTGGTACTTGGGTATATTCAGTGGCTCAGCACCAGGCACAATACATCTGAGCAGGGGCATCACCATAATGGTTAGAGAAAAATAGGACTGGGATGTTCTGCACCCTGTCAGTACTGGGACCCCTTTTCCACACTGAGATGCAACCATCTAACTGGGATCTTGGAGAACACCTCCTGCCCTTCATTAACTAGCTGTGCAGGGTGGCTGTGCTCCCTTGATGTCCTTTTGCCAGCCACTGGTTGAGATACCTAATTCTGGAGAGGGATTTCAGTTCTTTGATCTGCCCTGGTCTGCTGCTTGAATGATATCTCTGCTAAGCACCCCTATTTGTGATAGAAATGGGGATGAGGAGTGGTTGATTGACACAGGGGCTGTGGAGAAAGCAGTAGTATAACTAGGCTGAGACATGTGGGGACCTGCTCCAGGCACTGATTTAGAGAGGGTGCTGACATTGCCCTCCACACCCACCCCAGGAGCATTTGCTATGGCTGGAGCAACCTCATGATGTCCAGTCATAGAAGCTGGTTAGCCCTGTGCTCCATACTGTATCAGTCTGCAGCCAAGCTACTGCAGCTGAGGGGGAGTCTCACTGCATACCGGCTGTACCAGCCCTAGTCCTGTCCTGTGTGCCCTGTTCACTCCCCAGCCTCTACCCCCAGATACTTTACTGGGCATGGACCTGCAACTCCCATGGCAAATCCCTACGGAGGGGCACCATTCATCTCAACCACTTCCCCCCACAATACTGCAGGACATAGGGCTGCCCAGCTTCTGAGGCTGGGTGGCATGGGACTGCACCTGCCATAGCAAAGACTCCCAAGGGGTGGGGCCATTCTGGTGCCCCCTGCTAAGCCTGAGCCTCAACTGAAGCTGGAGTAGAAAAGAGCTTGGGGAGGATAAGAGGCTTTGCCCTGGATCCTTTCTGCTCCCTGGTGGTCAGTACTCTGCCCAAGGTACTACACAAGCTCATTACACCTCTGGAAGAAAGCCCTACTATAACTCTGCTGTTGACTTGGGGGACTGCAGCGTGGAGTCCAAAATCAGTTCTCATTTTTGCAACAGCTTTGTCAGCATGGGGGTGAGGGAGAAAGAAACCTGGCATGAAAGGGGAGAAACTCTTTTCCTAAAACACCTGGGGAGCATGACCCTGCATGGTCCTGGTTTTGTATATGCATGGAGAAAAGAGGAGCTGAACCTTCTGTTAATTTTTCACAGCATTTATCTGCTGGACTCCAACTGCGCCTCCAAGCCATTCAGAGTAACGTGAACCATCACAGCCTGAGGATGTTACAGGGGTCAGGACAGATGAACAACAGCTCATCTGTTCTCCGCAAATGGCTGCAGTGTACCCAGTTCAAAATGGCTCAAGTGGAAATTCAGTCATCTGAAGCTGCATCTCAGTTTTATCCTCTCTGAATTGTTCCAAGCAGTCACTTTAGTTTAGCAATAATAGGGTTAAAGCTATAAGACAAAAGCCCATTTTGTATATATCAGTATATACAGTACATACTGTATCTACACTTTTTAGCCTAGGACAATTGTGTAAAAGCTTGCAATGGGCAATGCCAAAAGCCTGATCCTGCTAGTCCGTTCTCACATATAAATTACTGCTTACAGGGACAAGCACACTGAGGCCATTAAGATTGCTTTTATGAGTGTGTGCAGGATCAGGCCACTATCTCTCATGTTGTACATATCTCTGATGATGGGAATATTTGATTCTTAAATGTTTCTTTACATTATTTTTTAAACAAAAACAAAATATCACTTTTCTTTGACTTCTATTTTTTTTAAAACTAGAATCGTGCATATCCACAGATACATATGAAAATGTGATGTTGCTATTTTTGATGATAAAGAAAATAAGGTTTTTAGCAGCCTTTCTAGAGCTTTTTTCTTAAAACTTACATTTGGCACGCAATAACTTGTCACTATGAACCAATTATGTTATGATGAAGCTTTTTGTCATTATCTTCTGGGAAAGCAGCTTGAAAGGAGAATTTTTACAAAGTGCACTTAGAAATTAGGTGGCTAAAACTATGCCAATTTGTCTTTTTTTTTCTTTTAAATATTGTTTTCCAAAACTGTTAAGTATGGTTGGTTGGGTTGTTTGTGTTTAAATTGCTTTTCACTCCATTGATTCTGTGCTGCACTTTCCACTTCAGTTTTGTGAATACTGTATTTTATTCTTTTGTCAATACTTGCATACAATGCAATTAAAAATATATGACCCAGGCCTACACTTATTGATAGATATGGAAATTATATCACAGGCCTTTGATAGGAGCCGGTTTGGGTCTGAAATGTTGCATAGTGATATGAACAAGTTTCAACAATGGCATAATTACATAGAAAGTTATGTTTAATAGTAAATGAATTTGAACAGCATTATGGGACTCATCCAAAACCCACTGAAATCAAGGGAAAGTGTTTCAAGTACTTTGTTGGGCTTTGGGCAAGTCTAAAGAGCACCAGGATATATCACCTCTTGTAATTAACATTTTAAATCTGTGTAATTACCCTGATATTTCTTGTATTTAGTACTGTAATGGTCAGACTAGAAGAGTAATGAATACCCAGTTAAGCTGTATATTAAAATGCTATTAAATGTATAGTCTTCACTATCACTCTCTGTGTTCATATTTTTCCACCCAACTACATGTGGAGAGAAGAGGGGATCTTGATAAAAATTGCTTAAATGCATTTTTATTAGGCTTGTCGGTATCTGCCACATGATTTACTGAAAGAAAAAGTATATATGTTTGAAAAGGTACCTTTACAGTGCCATTCAAATAAAAAAATGACCATGGCTGTTGCAACAATTTACTCAAAACACCAGTTCCTTGTGTTCATCCAGGAGTATATTGGCTAATTTCTGTGTAAGGAAAAAAGTCTTTCTTCCTTTTAGCCTTGCATAACCTGCACAGTTGCAAGACACCATATCCTGCATTCTATCCTGTCATGGCTTCAGAGATTCATAGTGTTTAATGCCAGAAAGAGCCATTAGATCATCCAGTCTGATTTGTAAATTAAATTTCCTCCAGTTACCCCTGTCCTGAGCCCAATAAACTGTATTTAGCCTGAAGTACATCTCTCAGAAAGGCATCCTGTCTTGATTAGTAGACTCCATGGGGTGAAGACTCTACCACTTGGAAGTTTCTTCAAATGGTTAATCACCCTATTAAAAATGGGTGCCTCATTTGTAATCTAAATCTTTTTGGCTTAACTTCCACAACAGGTTCTTGTTCTGTGTTTCTGATTTGGAGTAAAAAGCCCTTTGGTAGCCATTTTTTTTCTCTCCATGAAGATACTTTAAGTAATCAAGTCACCTCTCAATTTTCTTTTTGATAAGCTAAATAGATGGAGCTCCTTAAGTCCTCACAGTATGGCATTTTCTTCAGCAGTCAGATCTTTCCTGCATCCTCTCCAATCTTTCAGTATTTTATCCAAAATGCAGGCATGAGCCCTGTATGCACTGTCTTCCAGTATTGGTGTCACAAGCACTGCATATATAGGTGCATATATGCATGTATTGCTGACCTGCTCCTATTCACTCGCTCCACATTAGAATTTACCTTTCTTGCCATATCATCATGGTTCAAACTCATGTTGAGTTTCTTGTCCACTATGACTTCTTAGACCTTTTCAGGAGTAGCCTGTAATTCTAGGTGTATAATTGAATTTGCCTACATTACAGTGCAATTCCTGTGATACATAATCAACAGCCTAGTTTATTAAGTCCTAACAAATGTCATCTGGGTAACCCACTGGATGATAATGAGGTAGCACAGGTGTCACACTGGTGGGATGATAACTGAAGGACATCCTTCTCCACAACTTTCAGACAGGCACAGGATGAGCAGTACCTTCCCTCCACCTTTTTGCTGGCTGTGCAGGGGTGGGAGGGAAAGCAGTAGAGAACAGAGAAGAGGATCTGAGGTTGTTTTGTACAGCAGAGCCCAGCAAATTATTGCTCTTCCTTTTTTCTCGCTGGCAGTTCGGTAGGTAAAACAAAGCTGCGATTGCAGCTTCTTGCCAAGGAAGAACTACTACAGCCTCTTCCGAAACAGACTGAATCCTGTAGTTCTGGTTTGTGTCTGCCACGTGCCCCTGGCCCTGGGCCCTGCTGCTGTTGAGGGTCAGTAGAACAGGAGGAGCCCTGCTGGGATGTGAGAGAGGCGCACTGGCTGGGGGAGCTTCTATTTGCATTTTTGCCCTTTCATGGAACTGGCATGGCACTGGTATGGGGTGGGCAGGACCATGGAGGTGGTGCAGGCAGGTTAGAGTGGAATTCAGGAAGGGAAGAAGAGGACAGGAGGCTGCAGAGAGAGGCAGGAGCAAGTGTGAGAGTTTGAGGTCAGACAGTGAGGGTTGCTTGTGAGGTGAGAAGAGAATAGGGATAAGCCCTATGAGGAGAGACTGAGGGACCCGGACCTCTTCAGCCTCCACAAGTGAAGGCTGAGAGGTAATCTTGTGGCTGTCTACAAATTAATTAGGGGGTGCAGCAAGGGATCGGAGATGCTCTTTTCACCAGGATGCCTCTTGGGGTAACAAGGAACGATGGTCACCAGTTGACAGAGAGCAGATTTAGACTAGATATCAGGAAAAACTTCTTAATGGTAAGGGTGGCCAAAATCTGGAATGGGCTTCCAAGGGAGGTGGTGCTCTCCCCTACCTTGGGGATCTTTAAGAGAAGGCTGGATAGACATCTGGCTGGGGTCATCTGACCCCACCACTCTTACCTGCCTAGGCAGAGGGTCAGACTCAATGATCTGTTGAGGTCACTTCCAACCCTAGCATCTGTGAATAGAGTGAATGAAGAGAACAAGATGGGGACAGGAAATCTGTGAGGGAATCTTAGACAGGAGAGACTGGGATTGAGAGGGAGGAGGAGGAGACAATAGGGAGAGTCTGTGGGGAAATAGAGGTGTCTCAGAGGACTTCACACATGGACATGTAATTGAGTAAGAGCTCAGTTCAGCTTCTGGGCTAGGGAGAGACCTTACACATAAACCAGGTTAAGTGATCAGAAACTGGTTTAAACCTGTAACAGAACAGATGTTCAGTGCACATAAACCAGTTTGAGAATGGCTGAAACTGGTTTGTGATAAACCTGGCTGAAAGTAGTATCAGACTTAACTGATTTGGCTCAAACTGGTTTATGCAATGTCTGTCCCAGACCCCTTGCTGGTTAAAGATAAACCAGACTCCCCCAGAATTCCCAGCATGCTGGCTGGGCTGGGCGGGGCTCTCTGCTCCACAGCAGGGCTTGCCCCTCCCCTCTGCAGCTCCACCAGACTGTGGGATGCTTAGCCCCTCCTCTCTGCCTTGAGGAGGTGCCTGTGTATTAACTAGCAGACCACATGCTGACTATGATTCCTGCTGAATCAAGAGGTAGAATGAACAGGTAGCTGGTAATGTCCCTCTGTTGTTCTCTTAATGGGGTGATAAACACTTATCAATTCTCTGCTGAGCTAATCAGAGTGTTCTGCCCAGGCCTGGCCATGCCCCTACTCTAGCACCCCCAGCTTCTAGCCTGAGCCACTGCAGGCATGCGCCTGCATATCTGGGATGTCTGTGCAGTTGCAAACCAGTTCAGTCTAGCCAGGTTAAACTAACTTGCAAAGATTGAATCAATTCAGGCTCAGGCTTTTTGAATGTCTGTCCCTAGCCCTAGAGACTGCTACTGGGCAGAGTGGGAACCAGCCAAAGCCAGCACCACTGGAAGAGGTGTGGGAGCAGACCAAAGTAAGTAAATGTTGCATTA